AGCAGGAATCAGACAACTGTTTCCTTTCAGGTGGCATCTTCACGCTGCCAGAAGGAAAGCAAGGATGACGAAGGATGGGATGCATACAGGCAGATCTGTGCTCGAAGAAAAGTAGCCTGTCCTCAATACAGGATTGTCCATAGCTACAATACAGGGACCCCTCCATCTCCATATGCAGGACCTTTATGATCTACCTTTAGGAGAATTGCTTCTTGTCTGTTGTGCCCCAAGTATTCAAGTGACCAGCACTCCCCACCCAAAAAGACTGTGTTGTATCTCAAGGACAACACGATCTTTATGTGCAAGATCCATTCTTACTACAGCCAGTGGCTGGAAATACCAGGCAACACGTTAACCAAAGCATGTTAGAAGAGCAGAGTTGTAAGCCAGTAAGGAAGGGAAAGACCATGAGCTACATCTCAAATACAAGTCTCCCCCTGCCCAAACCCCACATTCAAGCCACTTATGAAGAGGCTTCTGTGCTCCAGCTGCTGTGCTCCTCTGTCGATACCACTCAGAAAATGGGGCTAGCTGAAGACAGCCCTCAGGCGCTCTCCACTGCTTCCAGAATAAAGAAACTGTAGCAGCAAACTGACACTTTCTAAACTTCAGCTTTGCATTAGAAGTTAGGTACATGCAGATGATGCTGTTCTGTTCACGACTCCAAGTACTGAGGATAAAATGAAAATCTGGAAGCATACAAGACTTAATATGGGCATTGCAGGGCAGCACGGCAATCTACAAGTATATTGGTTTCCAGCACACAAAGTACCATTATCTGCCTAAGACTAAGCTTTGAGACTAGGAACAGAAGCACAGAAACTAACAGGAGGAAGAACTAAATTTCTAAAATAAAGGACTGGCAATCTTAAAAATAAATAAGTAAATAAATAAAAAATCAGGGAATGCGAGGACAGGCGGCATGGAATAAATGGAAAATTTTATATACTTCACCACGCCACTTAATAATTTCAATTTAAGAAAGCCTGTTTTCATATAGGAAGACTAGAGGGAGAAAAGTTACAAAGACTACACAGAAACGGATTCCATGTGTGACCTTAAAAGGTATAAAACATTCTTCTTGACAGCTCCGTCCCCCCCAGCCCTGAGAAGAAGGTAAATAGGAAATAAGTATTTCAGCATTAAGTAAGCAAAATTCATACTAAAGCCTTTGGGAAGTCCAAATCTGAGTAGAATAAAACGTTTCTAGCAGTTATCTCATGCGTGGATGACACAACAGTATGGTGCATCTCCAATGATGGCATTCTCCACTACGCTTTCCAAGAGTATGCAAACAGCCCGCAACGTAAGGATACCAGCTTTGTAACATCCTGCTGCATCTATAGGTGGGTCAGAAAGTACAGGCAGAAACAATTTCACCTCAAGAACATAAAGTACTATAGGAAAACCAGCAGGAGGAGACAAAAATCTGGAGTGCGGGAGGTGGTTTACTAACTCAGTAAATTACGTAAGGAGATTTAGGATATTTATTTTATTAAACCCATTTTTTGCAGTGAGAAAATTGATCTCATTGCAGTAGTACCTGGTGACACTTAAAAATACTATTTCCCTTACAGCTCTACCTGAAGGCTTGCTTGTAAAAAGGGGATGGTGGGGGAACAGGTAAGAGAGCATGTTTAAACTAACGTCTCCTAATTGTTGCTTCCAACCACAATCCACTTCTTCCAAGAGACACTGACAAACAGCTGATTCACTTTTTCTTTAAAAAATTTCTTATTTTATACATGAACCCAGGTTAAACAAAAATGTTTACTACCATCACAACTTTGATCATGACTGTTTTGTTTGTCAACGTATTGTCTTAGAGCATTGCTTACGAATGTTTTTCAACACACGCCAAGGGAGGCCAAAGGATTGGTATTTATTCTACTCATGTTAGTACTCTGTGTGTGTACCAGGGGGCTGCATTCGTGTCTTAGACTTCTGTCTAGTTTTATTCATCATTGATTCCCTTCTCCCACCTATTTGTTTCAAGGGGGTTAAAAAACCAGCACGCAAAGTACTGTAAATAAACACACGTTCTAAGGTAGCTGGTACACCCTCAAAAAAAGGCATTAAAACAATTCCAAGAACAAACAGTATTAACATTAGTTAGAGATTGTGCCTATGTCCATATATGCAAACCTAGAAGTATGATGGAGTGCCCATTATATCATTTGCTACAAAAAAAAAGTAATCTAAGTGTAGCTACGATAAGAGCACAGCTTTTTGTCCAGCATTACTTCCATCTCTAAAAAATGATGCCTCAAGATGCATCGGGGAAAAAAAAATCCAGCAGATGAAAGCATGAGATCTTGCTGAGATGTCCTCAGATAACCAATCTGCTAACATGGTATGTATTGTACTTTTACGCTTTATGGACTTTTTTTTTTTTAAATTTTATAAGACTTAGGTGTTCCAAAAAAAAAAGTTATTATCTTCTTGCCCTAACAATCAAAATGCACACACTAAGAAGAACAATACAATACATCATGCCTCTTACACAAGACTTATTAAGGAAAGATTTCCATCATTAAGGAAATTGATAAAGTAGTTATTGGGGAAAGAAGCATCAGTTGAATTCCACCCCCCAGCAATACTTAGGAGCTCTAAGAAGTCTGGTTATAAGAGAGCATGAAATTAGTTCTGTAGTTACAAACGCAATGGTACTATTGCATATATAGTTTACAAAATTGAAACCACAGAACCTCAGTTGCCCTGCAAGGGGTGAAGAGTTCTTTTCATCAAAAGAAAAAAAAAAACAACGCTATGTGTTTTTCTAATTTAAGTGGCCTGTAGGAAAAACAAGCCCAGGCTGCACGGTAGAAACGATAATTTTTATTTATGTTTATTTTTACGTAGGGAATGTAAAAATAAAGGGTGTAAACGGTTAGTCTTATTAACAAAGAGA